AGGTGGATGAATTGTTGCTATTGCTGTCCTCTCTTCCATTCAGAATTCTGGTGTTGTCACTGCTGCTTCTTCCTCTCAACTTCTCTTGTGTCTCTTTCTTTCTTCATGCTTGCCAGTATCATAGCCTCATTCTTTGTTTGATTCCCTCCCTCACTACCCAAAGCCCCACACTTTATAATTTAGAAATCTAGATTTCTATAAAAATGCATTCACTGGTGATTCTAATACTTTTTGGCTTGGTGATGGAATTGAGGGGGAGTAGTATAATACCTATCACGAAGATTGTGTACCTGTTGGTTTTACACTTAGATTCTCTACTATCAGTCAATTCATGCTTTTTGACAATAAAAGCTATGTTAGATTGTTTTATATAATAGTTGCTTTATCTACGTGGACAGTAGCTATTAAAGAAACTTTAGCTATTTATGGGACAAATTACAAGAATTCTTTGTTTCTAGGAAATTGTGGCCAAATTTCATGCTAGTATTTTTTAAATCTTAATTATAAGGTATAATTATAAAGTAGTAATTGCAATTATTACGATAGTCCAGGTAAGTGGTGATGAAGTTCTAAAAGTAGCATGTGACTATATGAGTGGAAAGTGGAGAGAGGGGGAATACATGAGAGATGTTGTGCAGTTACAAATGACAAGATTTTTCAATGGAATGGGTATATGTGATGACTGAGGAGTGGAAGATGACACCAAGGTTGTGGGCCTGAGTGACTGGGAGGATGGTGGTACCCTAGAGAGTAATAGAGAATTTCAGAAGGAGGGAGGCTTTTCAGGGAAAGATGAGTTCTGATTTGGACATGCTAAGTTTGAGATACCTACATGACATTCAATTTCAGATATTCAAGAAGAATTTGAAAACCCATAGTCTCAACTAAGAGACTATGGCTGAATATATAGCTCTGCAAATTATTTGCATAGAGATGATAATTAAACCATGGTAGCTGGTGATATCATCAAGTAAAGTAGTACAGATTGAAAAGAGGAGTCCAAGGACAAAGACTTGGATTTTAGAAATTTGAAAATATCTTCCCCCCCCCCCCGGTTGTTGATAAAAATATTTAAATGGCACAGAGTTAAGCACATATGTCTAGGGTACTCCTCTGGACATCCCCTGACAAATTGACATTAACAGTTTCTTTTTGACTTTTGAGTGTCCAGCTAATTTGATTTATTATTGTCTAATTCATAGCCAGTTTGGCTAAAATGTTGAATGTGTGCAGGGGGCATAATGTGTAATAAATCTAGAAAAGTAGTTTGAAAAAGTTAAAAGATAGTGGGTGATAGCTTGAGAATGTGACAGGATTAAACAAAGTTTTTTAAACAAAATTTTTTAAAGGACAAGGCAGAGCTGTTCATGTTTATGGTCCACAGGAAAGGACATAGTTGATAAGCAGAAATTGGAGATAAAAAAGAGACAACTAGAGGATTAAGATTTGGCAGTAGGAAATATACCTCTTCATTAAAGAAGGGAGCAAAGGAAAACATAGTAGGGAATTATGTGGAGAAGTTTTGAAATGTGTAGTGAGGAAGAAGAAGGAACTCAAATTGCATAGTCTCTCTTTTCAGTGAGGTAGGAAGCCAGGCTGCTAAGAGAGCACTGGGCTCCTTCAGACCCCCAATCCCTACTTTTTCAGCTTCATTTTCTGTGTTGGCTTCCCTCCCATTAGATTGTGAGCTCCTTGAGGGCAGGAACTGTCTTATGCCTTTCTTTATATCTCTAGAGCTTAGTACAGTGCCTGGCAAGTAGCAGGTGCTTATTAAATATTTATTGACTCTGAGAGACCCTCAAAAGGAGAGATGAGTGTCTGTATACATATTAGAGAGAATGTAATAGAGTACCTTCTATAAAAGTATACATGTGAGCAAATGAGGGCTCAGTCTTCTTAGTAAACATAAATTTTAAAAAGTTAAGAATCCCTAATTTTGAATTAAGAGCCTTGGATTTATTGTCAGAGATCCTGGGATCCTGGCACTAGCATTTATTATCTGTGTGACTGCACAAGCCATTTAACCTCTCCATTTCTCAGTTGTCTCACCTGTGAAATTCTGGGATTAGATTGCAAGATCTTCAAGGTTCCATCCAACTTTAAATCTATGATCAATTTCATAAGAATTATCTATTACATATATTTCTGTACCTTAACCTGTGGGTGCTCTGCTTAAAGGAATATAAATTTTAATTGCTGAAACCTCACACAATATTTTGGGTTTTATGGACTAGATTTCCTTTTTAAGGACCATACCTTAAACCCAGATTACTCTGGCTGTCATTGATTGGCTAACAGTAGGTTCTAGCCCAAGCCTCTCTTGGTCATTGTTTGGGTTCTACTGCCTCAGAGGGAGTATAAATAGCAATTGTTTTTGTTCTGGCCAGAAACCTTGAGGGTCTTCCCTTCCCAGATTTTCTTTTTTTTTTGGAGAGATAAAAGAGGCCATTCTTTGCCTCATTCTTTACCTAGCCTTACTCACTGAATGGGCCTTGTCTAAGAAAAACTGAGGCCCGTGAAAGACCTTAGGCCAAGGTCTCTAACATCTTACTCCATATATCAAGATTAAGTCAGAATGGGTACAGAATTTAGATGTAAAGGATGATACTATAAGCAGATTAGGAGAGCAAGGAATACTTTGCCTGTCAGATCTATGAAGAACAGAAGAATTTATGACCAAACAAGAGATAGAAAACATTATGAAATGCAAAATGCATAATTTTGATTATGTTAAATTAAAAAGTTTTTGCATGAACAAAGCCAATGCAACCAATATTAGAAGGGAAGCAGAAAGCTGGGAAACAATTTTTATAGCCAGTGTCTCTGATAAAGGCCTCATTTCTAAAATATAGAGAAAACTGAGTCAAATCTATAAGAATACAAGTCATTTCTCAGTTGATAAGTGGTCAAAGGATATGAACTGGCAGTTTTCAGATGAAGAAATTAAAGCTCTCTATGGTCATATGAACAAAATTGCTCTAAATCACTATTGATTAGAGAAATGCAAATCAAAATGACTCTGAGGTACCACATCACACCTATCAGATTGGCTAACATGACAAAACAGGAAAATGATAAATATTGGAGAAGATGTAGGAAAATTGGAACACTACTACATTTTGGTGGAGTTGTGGACTGATCCCACCATTCTGGAGAGCAGTTGGGAACTATGCCCGAAGGGCTTTGTGCATACCCTTTGACCCCATAATACCACTTCGAGGGCTGTACCTCAAAGAGATCATAAAAATAGGAAAAGGACCCACATGTACAAAAATATTTATAGCGGCTCTTTTTGTGGTGGCCAAGAATTGGAAGTGAGGGGATGCCCATCAACTGGGAAATTGCAGAACAAGTTGTAGTATATGAATGTAATGGAATGTGCTGTAAGAAATGATGAGCAGGTGGACTTCAGAAAAACCTGGAAAGACATGAACTGATGCTGAGTAAAGTGAGCAGAACCAGGAGAACATTGTACACAATAACAGTAACATTGTGTGATGACTAACTTTGATAGACTTAGCTCTTCTCAGCAATGCAGTGATCTAAAACAGTTGCCAAAGACTCATGATGGAAAATGCTGTCCACATCCAGAGAAAGAACTATGGAGTCTGAATGCAGATCAAAGCGTACTATTTTCTCTCTGTCTCTCTTTTTTAAAAAAAAAATTATTTCTTCTTTCTTGTGTTTTTTCCTCCTTTGGTTCTAATTCTTCTTTACAACATGTCTAATATGATAATATGTTTAATATGATTGTACAATATGACATATTTTACAATATGATATTGTACAACATGATATTATTGTAATATATCCTATATTAGATTGCAAGCCATCTTGGGAGGGAGAAGGAGGAGAGGGAAGGAGAGAACATTTGGAACTCAAATCTTATAGAAGTGAATGCTGCAAGCTAAAAATAAATAAATAAATAATTTGGAAAACAAAGGCCAAGGTCTTTCACTACATCTCAGGCCATCTCCAGACATCCTGATCTATATTTTGCCAATCGACCCAGATGGCTCTGGAGGACAGAATGACTCTGGTGACTTTGCACGGCCCTACCTCACTTAAATCTAATTCACTTGAAAGTCATGACATCCCCTTCCTGATGTCATTGGTGCTCTTAGAGAATGAAGGACAAGCAACAATAACAACTAATTCATTGACTCAAATATTTCATTCCACCTACCTTGTTCTAGTCTAATATAAACATTTTTTAACTTGTAAATGTAAGTTTGTTGTTATATAGGTTTTAATGTCTTGATCAGAAACCTTTACTGTATTTGAATGTTTTGGTTGTGTCTCTCACATGGTTCAGTTTTTTTAAAAAAATTATAACTTGATAGACTTTTAGAAAATAATAATGAAATATCAGGAATTTAGTTGTAACTGTGGTAGTAAAGATAACACTAACATAATAATTTCTGATAAGCTACTATGAAAACTATTATAAATGATTATTTCCTAATGCTTTTAAAAGCATCAATTTTCTTTCCCAGCTGATGTGCTGAGTAAATATTTCCTGTATAATTAGATATTTATCATGCAGAATGTTTCTGTATCTTTTAAAAAAAAGTAATTTGTAGGCACATATTATTGTTATTTGCTTATTATATTTTTTAATTCTTACAATTTTTATTTCATTGTTCTAGTCAGTGACCTTATGGAAAATGTTTAACAATTGGCTCTGATGGAAAAAAAAAGGCCCACAACACACTTTTATGTTTAATCTACATTATTTACGTTTTCTCTGTCACTTTCTTAAGTCTAGACAATAAACAAAACAGCAAATCATGCTCTTATTTATAATGTTTTCAATTTTCTGAAGTATAAATGCTCACATTGAAAATTTAATAGTCAGCTCTCAGGAGTTGTTTTGAGTTGGATCCTGTCTATCCTTCCTTCTAATATATTAAAGTATTGAAATATTCAAATGTATATACATAACTGGTATAATTAATTAAGATTTCTTAAACATTTTATACCCCCTTCTTTGAATACAGAAACTCCAGCTGCATTTCAAGAGAACATGAAAGAAAAAGAAACACCAACACCTGGTGAAGAGATTCAGCTGGAAAGTTCAATTCCTCATACAGATTCAGGAATTGGAGAGGAGCAGATACCTAGTATCTTGAATGGAGCAGAACTAGAGACTAGCGCAGGTCCTGATGCCATGAGTGAATTATTATCTACTTTGTCTTCTGAGGTGAAAAAATCACAAGAAAGTCTAACTGAGAGCCCTAACGAAATGCTCAAGCCTGCACCATCCATATCTAGCATCAGCCAAACCAAAGGCATTAATGTCAAGGAAATACTAAAGAGCCTTGTGGCTGCTCCAGTCGAAATTCCAGAATGTGGTCCTGACCCTGTCCCTTACCCAGATCCTGCATTGAAGAGAGAAGCCCATGCTATTCTTCCTATGCAGTTTCATTCCTTTGACAGGTATGTACTGAACTTATTACTCATATTGTTATAAGTAAGCATGTATAATTAGATCATGATACTTCAGAAATATTTGGAGTCTGATATTTAAGTAGTAATTAATTAGAAATTGAGTCTAAAAAAAGTTTTTTGTAGTCATATAGATAGAGCAGTATAATTGAGTTCAGGCCATCACATTGAGAGGACCAACCTAATTAATTTTAGAATTTTATAGAAAGTAATTTTATAATTTAATAAACATTTATAATATGCTTAAAAATAGAAAGCAGTATGGTATGAGTGAAATATATTGAACTAGACAGGAAACTTAGATTTTATTTCAGACTGCCTCTGACTAATGCTATTGCTCAGACAATATCCCTGGGCACAAGCTTCCTCACCTGTAAAATAGACAAGGTCATATACATTTTAGTTTCTAAGGTTCATAGATTTTATGAAAATATTATAGTAGACAATCACCCAGACATTTAGAAATCATATTTCAAGTTTAAATACTGAAATGTGAATTCACACATGTGAAGAAGAAACAGAACCTTCTATGATCACCTGTCTCATGTAGTTAGCATTAACCAATGGAAAAGCTTTACTATGAAATATAAATTTTATTGTAGGGTATAAGATTATTTTTGCCAGATTTCTAAAACACTTATAAAGAGCAGAAAGTATGTTCAGTTAGCTAGATTAGAAAATTCTGAGAGTTGTGTGTTGAAATGATTCAAGGATATTTACAGTTATTTTTATTTTATTCAGAACCAAAATATACATCTTTCCCTAAAGGCGTGGAGGATCAAAGACAATATTGATTCATGAATAAAGTAACTTTCCGCTTTAGTAATCTAGGCAGATGCATGTGTAGGGAAGTCTTTTTTTTTTAAGTAATACTTTAAAATACTTTACAATAAATTCTAGAATGAATGATGCACATTTACAATGCTAAAATAGTAAAGAATGTGCTAAATTGGCATCTGAACCAAATCATTATCATTGAAGCTTGAAAATACTTTCCCAGCCAAAGAAAAAGAAATGTGTGGAAGTAACTAATTTAAAAGGAGGGTTGGTTTATTTGTTTTGGTTAGAAAAAAGGAATGATATAAGAATTAATAAGATGTCATTGAAAACTGAGGAGGAATAGAAAAACGTATCTATATAGCAATAAATCTTATTTCAGATGTAGTTAGAGGTTTATTTTACGGAAGTTAATTATCTTCTAAATTTCATAGCAAATTAATTTTTAGCCTATTTATTGAAAACCCCATTTTATACTTTTCTTTTCCTTATCAACTGATTTTTAATGATTTGAGAGAAAATATTTTGTTATAATTTATTTTTCATAAAATATTACATGTAAATGTATATATATATATATATATATATATATATATGTATATATATATAGAACCATAATACTTTTGGCAAATATTTTGTAAGGATAAATTATATGTCCTTCATAGTTTCAAATTTTTATTATTTATGTTCTTAAGATATTATTTAGGTGACAAGGAAATTCTATCTTGTTAATTTTCTTGGCATGTCTATGTTTTGTTTTTATATTAATGTTGAAAATAATGTCATTGCTTCTAGTGAATTATACAAAGAATAACTATACTTGTAAAAACTTTAAGAATTTTGAGGGAATTTGTGCTAATTAAATAAGATTTTGTTGGGTAACATGATGAATATTGAAATGATTTATAAATTTTTTGAGGGAAAATGTGTCTTAAAAGTTACAGATTTGAATTTATAATTATACTATTCTAGTATCCAAATGGACAGTTTTAAAAAACATACTTTAAGCCGTGGAGAATAATAAATCTACCACATGTACATATTTCCGTGAAAATGTGTAAAAATTCAAGTTAAGCCAATATCTTTAAAGTTTTGTATAATAGTTTATTTTAAAGTTATCATTATGGGCTAACAATTTGATAAAAGGCTAACATGTCAAGAGTTACTGAAATTCTTTTAAGAGAAGCGAAATCAAATGTAGAATAAGCAAGAGCATATTTCAGATTTGCTATATATTTTAATATGGATTTCACTTAGAATAATTTTACCTCCTAATTTCATCTTGACTAAAGATTAAAATTTCACAAAACAATGTTCCCAATAACAAGTCTAAATCTATAACATCGAGTTTTAAAAATCACAAAACTTTTGTATTGTTCCAAGTAACACCTAGAAAATGTAGAGGAGTGCATTTATTTTCTAAATTGTAGAAGTAGGAGTGAGGTAGCAGAGCACAAAGCATTTTCTAAGTCATAGTAGGAAAAGGGACTCCTGTATAGTTAATATATGCAGGAGCTGAAGTACTATCAAATGTAAATGATGAGGTGATATTGATGAAAGGAGGGGATTGAGGTCTCGGGGGGCGCTGATGAGGGATTGAACAGAAGCGGCCTTGCTCTGCACGTAACTCAAGTCTGTCGTCTTCACTGCTCAAAGCCATAATGGGAGGTGGCAGTCTGAAATGAGTTGCCACGGCAAAGAGTATTATTTTTGAAATGCTTTCACACAAATCACTAGGCCCTGCATACAACTTAGTTTCATGCTTTAATGTCATCAGGAGGCACAAATTGGTGTGTCTAATTGTTTGCCACCTGCCAGCAAAATGAGCTGCCAGCCAGCCAGACGGGTTTGATTGTCTGTCAGCCATTCAATAGATTGAGAGTGACAACATCAAAAATTTCACTTCAAACTCTGAAGCTCTGAGCAGCTTTTCAGAGACCTCTTCCCCACAAGTGCTTCTGGACAACTGCATTTTTCAATTAGATTTCAGTATATTGCTGCCTTCTGCCTCATCTGTCTTAAGGTAGCTGTAATTACATTATGAGCTATATAAACAGATTTGAGACACTGAAATCTGAAATCTAAGTTATGACATGTCTTTTGACATGAGATTGAATTCCTTGAAAATAGGATTTAAGGTGATGGATTTTAGAACCAAAGTTCTGAGTTGTACCAGTTTGATACAAAGAATTATAATAGAACTGACCCTGCTAATAATCCATTTTTTATTCTTATCTTCACTTGAAATATATGAAATAACTTGCCTGTTCCAAGTGGATGAATCATATTTCATAATAGTATTTGAAAATCCCCATGGAAATCACTCAGGGCTTTACTTTTTTTTAATAGCATTTTTCCAGTTCTGATGAAAAGTTTTTCCTTTTCCTTATTACTAGTCTTTCAGCTTAAAAGCTTCTACCCATTGTTACTGGTCTTGTTTTCTGGGGCAAAACAAAACAGGTATAATTCCACCTCCACATGCTAGCCTTTCAGCTATTCGAAGATAGCTATGAGTCTTCTCTTCACTAGGATAAAGAAACGTTGTGTTCTTCCCAGAATGTTTTCAAAATTTAATGTTTACTTTTTTCATGTTTCAAAGTTTGTTAAAAAGTAGTTGTTTTTATGTGATGCTTTTAAAATGATTTCATTTTCACATTTTATGTACTTAGAATTATGTGCTTAGAGATGGTCACAAATGCTTCTTATATGTCTTTATTTCTATCTCAGAATGAGCCATTGAAATTTGTATACTTCTGAGTATGTTGATAATGAACTGACGTGACATGAAAGTTTATTAAATGAAAGCACTGAAAGTGCTAATGTCACCTAATATTAATTTGATTTGTATGTTTAAGGTAAATTTTGAAATTATCAAATTTTAACAAAATGTGTCCATTTATGTCAGTGAGCAGCTTTCATGAAAGTTTTATTCTTTCAAATTACAACATTGTCTTAGAGTGAAGAAATAGTTTTACTGTCTATAAAGTTTTATGTCCCTATATATTTAATTTTCACGTTGGTTTAAATATATAGAAAATATTACAACTGAGCAATTGTGTTTTAGTGTCTACTATCAGTAACATATCGATATACATAACATAAGACTGCAAGTTGTATTTTTCTAAAATTGATATTTTAGTCATACATCTGCATCTTTTAACCTAAAATTTCAGTTGAAATTGAATGCTTTTTCCTGAACATAGTAACAAGGGGATTCAATTGACTGTTATTTAGATGATTTTCATCTTCTGAGAACATACACATATACTTTTTTTGTTTGTTTTTTGCTCTTCGTGGAGTTCCTTTCAGGTTTGGGCCAGAAGACAAAAATAGGGAACTAAGTCTTTTATGTGTAATCTCATTGCTAACATGGTTAAGAAAAAATTGCCCTATGACAGAAAGTTTATAACTGTTTCTTCCATCTGTCTTTTTAATAGAATCATAGAATGTTAGTGCTAGAAAGGAATTTCATGTGTAGTTCCTTTGGTTAATAAATTGAGGTATTTTATTCTTCATTTGTTTTTAGAATATTATTTGGGTTTAAAACATCATATTGTCATTATTGTTGTTAGTAACAAGTAAAGTATTAATAAAAGTATTTTTATTTGTTAAAAAATCCTGAGGTTTCTGCTTATTCACAGGTAAACTAACTTATTATGTCCACTGCTTTCTGTTTTAATTCTAATCTACTGCTTCTCCATCCAGTCTCAGAGTAAAAATTATGTATAGTCTTATTTATAGGCTGATACTTAAGATGATATGGCATTTTCCATTTTTATGACCTGTATTGTCATTTTACTTTAACTTCGTGCTTAAAATAAAAAAAAATAATGCTGCTGATACTAGAGTAAGTTAGAGATGTGTTGTAATTCTTTCACTTTGAAATCTTTAACTGTATGATGATTGTCTAGAATCTATTAATCTTATTTGAAGACTAAAAAATTCATAAAAGATATAAGATTCTAAAACTAATATTTCTTCTTTTAAAGTATTTTATATTATTTTTAGGGATTAAATCATTATTACTTCTGTTATGTTCTGTTCTATCACTAAAGAAGCCACTGTCTTTAGAAACAATATATTGCTGGATATTGTCTTTTAAAATCAGTTGCTATAAGCCAAAATCTTAACTGTATATTTGATAGATAATGATTTCATTTGAACTGTTGTCGTTTTATGTTGGGGCATTGGTTGACACTATCCTTGAGTAGCTA